ATTTTATTGATATTTCGGAAAGTAGAGGTAAAAAGAAATCGGAAAAGGTAAGGTAAATACTATTGTTGTATATCACACCCGGGCATCGCACTGTTAAGTACATGTGGGAAAGCCAGCTTTTGTCAAATACTACGAAGTTAATAATTCAGTACGGTACGTAAGTTGCCCATTTGCCGAAATTGCTTATTTACTTACCCCTTATGGTTTCAAATAGTTCATGCACCTCCATTTAGATTTTTTTAATCAGTGAGGATATATACTCAACTCATTGCTGATCATTGTAACATACTATTGCGCATTCACTTTTATTTGCGTATTGAATCAAAGTGTTAACAAGTTCACCTAACATTTCATTCATACCGGTCTATATTGTATAGTCTGATCTCTCAAGTATTTGGAGCCACGAATGCTTGTAATTTTCTGACTGAACCCTTTTATTAGCTGGTTTATATACCAAATTCAGTAAAACATTTTTTACCTAAAACATGACATATTGGATTTATTAGCTTTTCCATTCTAAATCATATAGACTGCTTTATTTATTCCTAACGAAAATTATTAAATCTCCTCTCTTTCTTCAGATGTGAAAGTTGTGGACAAACCTGTCTAAGCATTGTGAGACTCTTGCAGCACAAAAGGCAATAGCAAAAATAGTAAGTATATCAATCAAGAAATTAAGCCGACATAAAGCAAAACTTTCAACTATTCGTCTAATCCCAATTTCCTATAATTTATTCACAGGACAACTATAGCGGAAGGGGAGATATCAGAAGTTTGGCGACATATCAGTGACAGTGTGATTCCAAGAAATATAATTAGAGTACTCCATAAATGTTTGCAATAGAAAAACAACCTATGGAGGCATACAAAGACATTTGACACGCCGGTAGAGTTGTGTATGGCCCCCACGCCCCACATCCTGCAGGGCTTGAGGAAAATAACTGAAAATTCCAAAGCGTGAGATTGCATAAGCGGTCTTATTTGTAAAAAGGCACAAAACACGCCGGACATACTTAAAACAGTTTTAGAAAATGAGGATTACGGGTAACTCACTCCACCTGTGTTATATTTGGTTCATCAACTTTTGGTAGTACTATAGAAGAAATTCCGGAAGGGGTATAATCATCATTCATGATAAAATACTGTTATATATATTTTGGACAACTTCAATCTAGACCAGGGTTGTCAAACTCGCGGCCCCAGAGAACTTCCAGTGCAGCCCTCGAACGCTTTACAATAATTGTAATAGTATTTTGGAAGTTTTTATTTTTTATCTAAATGTAATTAATTTTTCAAACCTTTTAAAGTGAAATTGATTATTCACACAGAAAACAATTTACTGAAAGTAGTTTTGGAATATTAATTTTTTTTGTCCCCATTTTGACCCAATTAAGAATACACATCAAGCTAGCAAAAGAATACTTGAATAAAGCACTTGAGTGATTAAATCAATAGCAAAGTACATGAAGAAAATTCTGAAGCACATTGTTTAATTTGTCATATTTCCATCAATACAATGAAAGACACAATAAGCTCAGCAGTCAATATGACAAATTCGAAGACTAACTTCGAACAGAAAATTTCCATGTGTTTGTGTATTAATATAATTATACAACGACTTAGTTACTAAAAATCAATATCAATAATAATTCAAGCAATCCTATGCCACGCAATGTGCTGCGAAATGTCTTGTCGAAAAAATCTGTCATTTGTTTTTTTACTGATCTATGCATGAAATGATAAAAGTAACTTTTTTGCATTACTGGAATTAATTAAACATTCGCAAAGATCCAGATTAACCCATGATCATGTGACCTCGATAGTTAGAGCTGGTACTATAAAATCATTTCAGCCTGGCCTTAGTATGCTGGTGACACAAAAAAGATGCCAAACGTCAGGACAAATGTAATTAAAAAAAACATTGAGTATATACTGTAGTATTTTTGTTAATTTTAGGTTCATATATTTAGATTAAGTCATTTTTAGTGTATGTATTATTCTTTCCTTATCCAAAGCTTGTTCAAAAATGATTTTGATGGTTGTACATAGAATTTTATGATTTTTTATAATAAATACAGTAACTTGCAAATGTTGCAATAATAGTGGAATGCAAATATTAATATGTAATTGCATTTGAAATTGAAGAATATAATAAAACTTAATCCAACTGTTTAGTTGCATCACAATATATGTCACAAACTAAAACTATCTTAAAAATATCTTTCAAGTATACATTATCAAAAACTGTTTGCGGCCTTTTTACAATTTCCAAAATGCAATGCGGCTCTCGAAAACCCATGAGTTTGACACCACTGATCTATTCTAGACAAAGCATTGCTTTGGGAAATAATATCACTTCAATTAAATTGAAAAAAATCTCGCTATATTAAATACCAAATCGTTGCTATAATAAAGGTAAACCAATTCAGCCACTCGAAATATATTGGCCTTCACAAAGCAATGGAGGCAAAATTGAGAGTTCATGAGCTATGAGCCTATGAACATTTGTTATTTTCTTTGTCTTGAACTTTTCATACTCCACAGCCCCTATTATTTTTTTTTAATTCTAATTACCATGTGATGGTCATACATATCTTTAACTTGTATTTTCTGTCATGATGTATTATCTCAATGTGTCAAACTATTAATTAGTGTGCATATTTTGCTTCCAGATGACATAAATGTATTGTCTTGTTTATTACCTCAGCTTGGAGTATTGACAAGAAAAAGGTGCCAGTAAATTAGGTAAAAAAAATTTTAACTCTTTGTTATAATCAGAATTCACAATTAATAGGAATTATAAACAGCCAACAATCAATGAGAATTATATGCGAAATCCTCAGAATAAATTTGTCTAAAATCGGAGGAAGGCAAACATATAGGTAGTTTCCATCACTGAACTGGAAATATATCTCTGTGGTTTCCATCCATTAATATTATCTTCTATGCAGGAAGTTGCAGGGCTGCATTCAACTTGCAGCCTTACCGATCACCTGACGATGCTCATTTAGTTTGGCTCGAGCAAATCTTCTTGAAATTATTTATCAATCTCAACCCTACATAAGCAGTCAAGCGTGCCAAACAAATATCGTGTGCTGGACTGCTGGAGTAGTGCAGGGTTGCCATATTGGATTATTGACGCCAAATTTGCCATTTTGGGCTCGGAAGTTAAGTTTTCAGAATAAAATGTACAGGTTTGTGAATCCTATTCTACCGGTTAACTCGTAGGCTTTCAGGTAAAAAAAGAGGCCGTTTTACAAAGTTAAAAACACTATAAGGATTAGAATTAATATAGTTGACTTGTCTTATACGACCAAACTTTCCGAATTCGAGTAAGCAGAAGCTCTCAAGTCCATATGTCATTTGCAAGTCGCGATAGTTTACAGATCCTATGTTGTACATAAGACGAAAGTAATACATGTCAAAAGAACATTCTGTCTTTTGAGTCAGAATGTCGTATTGTGATTTTAAATAAATAACAATATGATTATGCAAATTGTTTTAAAACCATCTTTACCCTAAGTTTTAAATAAATCCTCGATGCGATTTCACCATTATGATGATAGCACATTGGCACGCCAGAGAATGGGATATTTCGCCAGTATGCTGATGTAATACTGATACACGTAGACCATTTCCGCGTCATCAGAATTACCTTTTATATGTTGTGCGATAGGTCACCCTTATTCTGATTTGGCTCAAACAATTGTTGCGCTATTGGAATAACCTACTAAAATTGCGGTGTTTTCACATTGATATGATGTCATATTTGTACACCTCGATCGCATTACTCATCAGATTGGTATACTAGGTGTTATTCTTTTATATGCTAAAATTTAGCGAAAGCGCCGAAACTATTTATATAGATTGCACACAATCCACCATTCCCTTACCTACCCAAGGGATCAGTGAATGAATGAATTAGGTGAATCATTTGTCAATCCTACTTAGGCAGTCAAGCGTGCCAAACGAATATCGTGTGCTGGAGTAGTGCAGGGTTGCCATATTGGATTTTTTAACGACAAATTTGCCATTTTTGGCTTTTTTCAAACACTTTTGGCGTCTGAATTTTCGTTTGGCTTTTTGGCGTTTTTTTTTTATTCTAGTCTATTCTAGTGTCTATTAATAAAATCATAGGAAATACAATATTTAGTGCGTAACAATAGCCTATTACCGGTACTAAACTTTATTTTCATTATGCCTATTTCAAAATTTAGTCTCACGAACGATGTGATTAACTACGCTAAAATTACTGAATTAGCTATCAGTAGTTCACCTGTAAGCGGCACGTGGTTAAATAATTTTTTAATAAAATTGATGGTTTTAAAATTAAAGTACGATATAGGGAGATTTTTTTTAAGGTATACACAAGTTTAGGTAGATACATGTAGGTATATCATATACTCAAGCAGCAACCCTGTATTGTATATATTGAATGGTAAAATAATGCTGTCCGCTTGATATTTCTTTCTATTTGGTTTTTTGATTCTTTTAAACTGTTTCATATAGATGTCAGATTGACTGTATTGTGTTGGATGTAGATTCTGGTGCTGCTGTCATTCAATTAATCCTTTTTACTTTTAAACCCTTCATCCCGATGAAGTGGAAATCGCCATGATAGCAACCGAAAATACAACTTTCAATGTGAAAAGACATTTGTGTGGCTCACTAAATGAACTGATGGCTCTACATTAGCATCAGTATTGTGCCAAGGGCTTAAAATCTGACAAATCATGGGGCTTTTGTACTTGGTGGCTTTTTCTGGCTTTTTTAATGTCTTGATTTGGCTTTTTTTTTACCGTTGGTTCTGGCAACCCTGGAGTAGTGTAGATCAGCGTAGCGCACGGCGTTGTATTCGTATCAATGAGCAAATATTTTTAATGATATAACTTTCCACTGTGCAAACACACCATTCGTTGAATCAATATAAGTACAATGGTGTGATAACCATTTGGTTTTTTTTGTAGTAGAGCCCACATTATAACTTTCCAATGTGTAGACACACCATTCGTTGATGTGCTATAAGTACAGTAGTGTGATAACCGTTTGATTTTATTGTAGTAGAGCCCAATTTTACTTTACTATTGAACACAGAAGATTTCGGTAAGAACAACATGGTGCAGTATAAGTTATATTATTTTGATGCTCGTGGCAATGCTGAAATTATACGTCTGATATTTGCATATTCGGATGTTAAATATGAAGATGTGAGAATACCAAGGGAAGAATGGCCTAAGCATAAATCAGGTACTTTATTATACATATTAAACCAGTACTTCTCATCCTTTTACGAAGAGTTTTACTTCGCGGCCCACCTTTATTTTTTTTCAGCGGCCAAAAGAAGTCAAAACAAGGTTGTCCAATACAAATCGAATATTTGAATAGATTCAAATATATACCAAAGCAATTTCGAAGTATTCGAATATATTTTCGGCAAATTTTCGAATAATTCCGAATAAGAATCACTTTTGTTCGTCAGCCCGGTGTTTTGTATTCGAGGGAAATCTTCAGGCTTGTTCATTTAAAATGGGATTCCCTTAGGAAACGTCTTATGGGATGGGCAGTACGCATTTGTATTACCCATGGGACACGAAATACCGTATAATTTTGGGGGAATTGACGGTAAAAACTTTCGTTATAGACTTCGTGTTCAAATATTTGAGGATAGCTCTCTTGTTAGTTGTTAAGTGCAAAATATATCTAGCATTAACAATATACCTAGTGAAGCGGGAGATAGACACATGTATAATAAATCTGAATTTAAAGTTAACAAAGTCAGCAAATTTTGTTGTTTTGCATGTCTCTTCGTACATGTAACCACGTACACGCTTAACCTAAATTTTTATTTATTGGATTGTATCCCGATGGGAATCCCATTGAATAGGATGGAATGGGAAAGGCATAAATTGCTATGGGATAGGACAGAAAAAAGTGTCCCATGGACAAGCCCGAAAATCTTCTAATGATTTTCTGTGTTTTTACACGTATTGTAATGGCGATAAAACAGAATCACCACTTTGATTGTTTGTTATCTGCCGTGCGAGCGTCGCGCATATCGTTGCGACAATTTTGCACGGTTGCGTTGCGCGTATTGCCGCCATTCCATTGCAAGGCTTCCCGTTTTATTTCCAATACGTCGAAGTAGTGAGAATTATGTAAAGCCGCAATTGTTAAGATATACTTGAAAATAGTTTTTACTTTTTCCCACTTTTTGTCATATAATTTCGATAATGATAGTTATAAGTATCGACTTTTATAAAGATGATTTTCTGTTGCGTGAAATATTCAAATCCATAACCTATACCAGCTTTTTAAACCGTATATTAATTCAATCGTGTTCAAAGTAACTAACTCATAGATGCGCTGACTTACGAAAAAATAAAAGCTTACCTAAAACTCCCCGGAAATATGTGGACATAAAATGTGTGGTAAACTGCTCAATTATTATTAATTTGTTATTCGTATTTTCATATTTACGGAAAGTTAAAAACCTTGCTATTCTCAAATACCAGCACCGTATCCTCGTTAGAAAGTATTGCTATCCTATATAGAATTAATTCAAATCCTAACATAAAATATATAGAAAAATACGAATATTTTGGCAACGAGTTCGCCGCCCACCATGAGATGCTTGGCGGCCAACCAGTGGGTTGCATACCGTTTAAGAAGTGCTGTATTAAACCACTAATACTTTCTCGTTTCTTCAAGAATCTATAACTGATTCTAAAAACTGTAATTTCGATACGATTAATGTTTCAGTAATTTTGGTATTTCAGTGGCTCAGAGGAGATGAATTATCTTTACTTCTGAGTGGGCGGATCCCGCTCTATTAATTATTTGGAGTGAGAATTAGGTCCATGGCGTCATGTGAAATGTGACGTCATCCAAATAAAATCCAAGGGACTTCAGAGTAGTTTTCCTGATTTTGAAAAGCTGAACAATTTCTCGTAATTTACGAGTTTAACTAAATACGTTTATAAATTTCTCCAATCTTTTTTAAAAGTTGCACATTGCAAATGTTATACTCGTTTTCAGATATGCCTCTTAGACAGCTTCCAGTCTTGGAAGTCGACGGAGTCAAACTTTGCCAATCTGCAACGCTGAATCGTTATATGGCAAGGGAATTTGGGTTAATGGGAAAAACGAGCAAGGATGCATATTACATCGAAATGTTTTGTGACTCAATAATGGAAATTGTATGGAAATATCCCTTTATGGAGGAAGACGAAAAAAAGAAGGTAATTTAAATTTTCAAATATATTTATCACTACAGAATAGTGCTTTTGTTGTAGTATAGTAACATTCCGAAATTCTGCCAATTATTTGGAGAGAGCATTAGGTCCATGGTGTCATGTGAAATGGGACGTCATCGTAATAAAATCCAGGGGACTCCGGAGTATTATTCCCGATTTTAAAAAAGCTGAAGCACTCTCGTAACTAACGAGTTTAACTAAATACGTTTATAAATTTTCACAATATTACAGGCAGCTCGAGCCGAGGAATTTAAAAAAACGACTCCTGAATCCTTGTCTAGACTTCAGAAAATGATTGAGAAATGTTCTCATGAGGGAGAGTGGATATTTGGAACGGTATGTATGATATAGACAAATAGACATATATATGTATACCAAAATTAAGTGAAAAAATCCATAGTGACTTCATTACGTAGAATTTATTAAAAGGTAATTTTTAATTCTCAATCCATCGACCATAACGAATCCCATTTTTAGCGGAAATTTTAGCGGAGTGTTTAACACTTCCGACCCAAATAAGTTTTGCGTAAACTTGTTAGTTTCAGTAATTTCTTTTAAGTATTAATTTGCTTTAAAACCAAATTGGCTACATTTGTTATGTTGTGACGACTTGTATTAGTAGGCCAGTTCTACTCAGCAACTCAGATATTCGCAGCTTTTCTGCAGGTTTGTGTGAAAAGAGGTTTCATCAAACTTACAATGTTGATGATTCATATTTTCCAGTCTTAATGACTCTAACTAAGCAGTTTTAACAATTGTGAACCCAAATGTAGAATTCTATTCGCACTCAAGCTGACAGAAATCGGTATTTCCTGAAAATATAATCTAAAAAATGTTACTGTTGCTTGTGCAACATTGGAAAATAGAGTGATAATATATTTTAATATTCAAATATATTTTGTTAAATTCCTTGATGTATATGTGTATTCACAGTTTACACTCGCCGATCTCTATTTGTTCACGTTTGGAGATTTTGTGTTGCCGGTTTGCAACGACATATTTTCTAGTGTTCCTGAGATGCAGAAAATATACGAAAAAGTGAAAAGTCTTCCCAAGATTGCCGCTTGGATTGAAAAAAGACCAGTGACATTTCTTTAATTGAAATATATTGGGACAGCATGCATTCATGTGTTTATGTATTGAATTGCACGACTACAAATCACTCCTTCCGAACTAACAAAATAATGTTTCAGTAGTAATGCATTAATTCACAATTTTTGTAGTAAAATATTACGAACTGGCTTTCGATAGACTTTTTCATCTTTCTGTTGGTTTTTGTCCAAATTTACAAATCGGATTAGGAAAGAAATTGGAACAGCCCAACGATGTAAATCAGAGGTGTGCAACCTTTATTACAGGGGGACAAAATACAAGTAACTGGGTGAAGCCGCGGGCCGCACATCAACTCTACCTATACGAAAGGCTCTGAATACGAAAATTCATTGCATCGGCTATCGTAAGATTTTTTTCATACGGAAGGCCGAAAATCCGAACAATGCTTGAAGAAGGGATGTCCAATTCGAATTTAATATTATAATAAAGACACCTTCGAATATCGTTTTTTGTGTTGATAAGAATACCGAATATGGCGCACATAACCTAGCGCCGCCGTTCACTTTTAGTTTAATAAATGATTATCTGCCATCCCGTTCGTTCGTTTGTTTCCCGAGGGTACGTACAATGTATTGCTAGCGAAATTCAGTGCGAACACGATGATACGCGTAACAGTTAACACAAAGAAAAATGAATTGAAAAGACATTTAAACAATTTGAATTACATGTGTGTGTGCTTATTTTGTACATTAGGTTCTCGATCAGCTGTCAACTTTTGCCACCTCCCCCGGCCCGTCCTCCCACTCTCCGCGGTCTTCGCTTAGCCTACCATAGTCGGCCAACGACGAGGGTAAACGAACATACCGTTTGTAGATTTTATGCGGTATTTCTTTGTTCTTCCTTCTTTCCATGTATATATTATCTATTTAATATTTATTATGCAATGCTCTATTTCTAACATGAATTTGTTACGGGTTTTAGCCATTATACAAATATTATGTTCAAGTTTTGCGGTAGATTGGAACGGATTAGGGCATTTACAGGTAAAATGCGTCCCTAATTACGGGATTTTCTACCTACGAAGGGCTTCATAAGTTGTGAGCACAAAAAATAGTTTCTTTCTGTTATCGATCTTACGGCATTGTTAACTTTAAGGTGTCTTGTAGAAAAGTTGAGTTGAAATGAAAAAAAATTTCTAAAGAAAACTGCTATTCAAATTTATTGTCACACAGACTACAAATTTACACTCGACAACGCGACGTCGCGCAGTGCGGACGTCTTTGTGAGCATAAACCTGGATACAAACTATCTTCTGTTTTGTGGATTAAACTGGATACAACACTACATTAATACGGTGAGATCGTTTCTTTATATTCGATCTGTATATATTGCTGTATATAAAGTGCAATTGACTGAAATCCAGTACAAATTTTCTTTTGGAGAGTGAACGTTTATTACGGATAAAGCTGTTTTATGTTATAAGATGGACGGCGATGAATCGCCAACTTCTTCCGGAGTGAAATGGAAGGGGGACGATAGTAATTCTAATGCCCAAAGTAAAGTAAAAATTAACACAATAAGTCAAGAAAATGACGTTATATCTACATTCGTTGTTGTACGGGGTACCCAGCGTAAGATGAGAACGTACAATCCTATAGTTATACATAGAAATTTGGTGCAGAAGTTTGGAACACTAAAATCGGTACGTGTGCTTGGTTCTGGGGATTTGAAAATTGAATGTTCAAACGAAAAGCAAGTTAAACTATTGTTGGAATGTGATGATATCGGCGATAGCACAACCAACATTCCAGTGAAGACCGAATTGTTTGTAAACAATGATCAAAATACTAGAGTAGTAATTAGCGATGTGCCAATTGACATGGCCGATAATGAATTGTTGGACGCATTATCTGGACAACGTGTTGTCTTTGTAAAAAGGCTTAATAGAAAAATCGAAGGCAAGTTTGTGCAGAGTAAATCAGTTCTGATTTGTTTTAACACATGCATTGTACCATCAATCGTGACTATCGGCTATATGCGATTCAGGACCAGAGTGTATAACCCTCCACCGATTCGTTGTTTTAATTGCAATAGATTTGGCCATGTAGCTAAAAATTGTCGATGTAAAGTTCGCTGTGCCAAGTGCGGTAGAAACCACGAATATAATAAATGTGATTCCGAAACTCCAAGATGTTGTAATTGTGGACAAGAACACAGCGCCGCATATGGTGGCTGCGAAGTATATAAACGGGAACGGTTGATTCAAAAAACAATGGCGAGTACTAAACTACCGTATGAGGAGGCAAAGAACCACATTAAGCAAACTATTTCAGAAACTGCGCAATTTTCGGCAAATGATTTTCCGGCTCTTCCCAGTAAAGTTCCTTTTCAAGGAAGTACACCTGTCCTTATGATTAGAAAGTCGAAAGATATATTGTCATCAGACAAGTCATCTCAACAAGCGCCTATTATAGGCCAATAGAGTCGCCCCAATTCGAAAGAGGTAAATGAAGATAAGAATGCACCTATATCTCTGGACCCAATACATTTTTTCGCATTTATCGCAGAAGTCATAAAAAATACGCTAGAGGTTTCTCAAAGTGGAAAAGAATGTGATGTTTACGCTATTGTTTCGATGTCCGCTGGCGCTCAATTTGGATTCGATGTCGACGCTGGCAACCTTAAAAATGCAATAAAACAACATTCAACCAAAAAGTAAAATTAACTATCATCCAATGGAATTGCCGTAGTATATACCGGAAACTAGGTGAATTGAAAAACTTTATTAGTGCTTCACACCAGAAACCTGACGTATTAGCCATCCAAGAAAGCAATCTCACACCAAAGTATAATCCTAGCATACCAGGGTATACCCTAGTACGCAAAGATAGATTGATTAGTAAAGGTGGTGGCATCTTATTTGTTATAAAAAATAATATATCTTTTGTTGAAATACCTTTACAACCTCTAAATGGCGCAGAAGCTCAAAGTGTCAGTTTGGGAAATCTTAAGATAGTCAATGTATACGTCCCACCTGATGTTAGAATTTCTCAATATGCCTTCGAACGATTTTTTGATCAATTTTCACGACAAACAGTCTTTTGTGGGGATTTTAATTCACATCATTTCTTGTGGGGTAGCCCAACAAACAATCAACGAGGACTAGCTCTTGCTGGAGCTATTGACAGCACAGATTTAGTAGTACTTAACACCTCTGTTCCCACTAGGATAAATTTATCCCATAACAGAGTAAATAATTGGTCGTTATTGGATTTAACAATAGCATCTCCTGATGTTGCCCATAGATGTAATACAATTGTAACCAACGAGTTACTGGGAAGTGATCACGTAATGGTTAAAACTTATTTTAACGTAACACAAGTCGGTGACACAAGTAATTACATGGAATCATGGCGACTCGATAAAGCAAATTGGGATAAGTTCTCGGAATTATGTAAAACGCGCATCAGTGAGAATATAGTCACAAGCGATATAAATGAATTCAATGATTTTCTTACAAATGCGATTATCTTAGCAGCAAATGAATCAATACCACGAACAAAATCCTACACAAAAAATGGCATCCCGTGGTGGAATGCTGATTGCGACAAAGCCATACGGCTAAGAAAAGCGGCGTTCCTTAAAATGAAAAGGTCGATGTCCATCGAAAATGTGATAATGTATAAAAAACGTAGATCTGAAGCAAGAAGAATAATATTGAAGGCTAAAAGGCAGAGTTGGCATGATTACTGTAGCTCACTGGACAAGAATGAAAAACTCAGCAACGTATGGAAAATGGTTAGGCGCTTCACTAAAAGCAAGGTGTACGAACAAATCCCCGGCCTTAAACACAATGGTATAACAGCAATCGAAGATTCCGAAAAAGCTGAGCTTCTGGCGAGTTCGTTCTCGGCGGTCAGTAGCAATGAAAACTACACTCCGAAATTTCTTCAAAGAAAGATCGCATTCGAATCCTCACATGACGTAACAATCTTCAAGGCTAATCACAAATTGGATAAAAATATCACAATGAAAGAACTTAATCAAGTTTTAAAACCAAGAAAAAGCACTGCTCCAGGACTAGACAAGATTTGCTACGCGATGCTTATAAAATTGCCCGCAGAATGTAAAGACATATTACTCAAATTGTTCAATTTGATTTTGAACAAAGGGAGTATTCCAGATACCTGGAAACGCTCTGTTGTAATTCCGATTCTTAAATCCAATAAACAAAAAGACCAACCATCTTCATATAAGCCTATATCTTTAACTAGCAATTTATGTAAGGTCTTGGAAAGAATTATAGTTCGCAGACTGAAGTGGTTTGTTGAAAAAAATGGCATATTATGTAGAGAACAGAGCGGTTTTAGGTGGAGGAGATCTACAACTGATGCATATCTAAAATTACACGATGACATATATAAAGCTTTACCATATAAAAGATCTGTACTTGGCATTTTCTTAGACATGGAAAAAGCGTATGACATGGTATGGAAAAGAGGACTGTTATACAAACTATATAACATTGGTGTCACCGGGAAAATTTGGATTTTTGTTGCATCTTTTCTGACAAATCGTTCATTTCAGGTTAGAGTAGGCAGTCGTCTTTCAAGTATATTCTCATTGGAAAACGGAATTCCTCAAGGGAGCGTAATCAGTCCACTGCTATTCAATATAATGATAAACGATATGCCTAGTACTATTTCATCAGATAATGTTGGATTGTTTGCAGACGATAGCGCTCTATGGCACACTGGTCTCAATATTGAAGATTTAATCATTTCCTCTCAGAACTCGTTGGATTGCATTCAGTCCTGGTGCAATCAATGGGGTTTTAAGATCTCGGTCACAAAATCAATAGTTGTACTCTTCACCCGAAAGAGAAAATTACCACCAATACAACTACACATAAACGGTGTAATACTCCCAGTCAGGAATGAAGTAAGATACCTCGGAGTCTATTTCGATAGGCGCTTAAATTATAAGAGACATATCGAATATGTTGTACAAAAATGTAGTAAACGGATTAATCTGCTGCGTTTGCCTATTGGAACTAGCTGGGGAGCTAACAAATCACCCCTTTTGTCATTGTACAGATCCCTAGTTCGACCCATTATTGAATATGGTATGGAAGCCTATTTTTCAGCATCAATAAATGCCATAAGAAAAATCGAAATTATCCAATCTCAATGTCTACGCATCGCTGCAGGTGGCATGATGAGTACGCCTAAAATTGCTTTACAAGTTTGTTGTAATGAGATGCCATTGGTTATAAGACGACTACAATTATGCCTCTTATATAAGGCTAAACTGCTAACATTTGTTGACCATCCTTGCCACGAAGTCATCGAACACTCATGGCATGAAATATTTCCCAACTCTCCAGCATTTCGTACATTTGGTATGATTGCAAGGACTTTCGATATTGACAAATTGGATATTAGTATTATTAAAGCCGAAGAAATTCCCCCATGGTATTTGGACGAAATTAATATCGACGATGCATTATCGAATATACTTTTTCCTTGGTATACGCCCGACCAAACAAAAGCTATAAGTTTGGATTATATAAATGAATCCTATCAATCACAAGTGCATATCTATACCGATGGGTCAAAAATTGATGACAAATGCGGTGCTGCGGTTTATGTTCCATATAATAATTCTCGTATGGGTTTTAGGCTAGACAAAGACTGTTCCTCGTTTGATTGCGAAGTTTTTGCAATATATAGTGCCCTTACATGGTCAAAAAATAACTATAAAAGGAATATACTTGTCATATCGGATTGTATGTCTGCTATACACGCTATAAATAATAACTCGGATTAAATTAGTAATATATCTTCAAATATTCAGACTTGTCTTTTTGAGTTACAGGAACATGGATGCAAAATCACACTACTATGGGCTCCAGGACATGTTGGCATTCCGGGTAACGAAGTCGCCGACAAAATAGCAAAGGTATCAGCGGCGAAAGTCGATGTGGACAAAAGATTATCCCAATCACAAAACAAAGTCAAATCACAAATTCGACAATTCTGCGCTAATAAATGGGATCAACATTTTATACAAAGTGACCAAGCGTTTCATTACAAGACAATTTTCCCCACAATTGAAGACAGCATCAAGAATTCCACTTGGTCACCACGAATGCCTAGGTATTCGCCACAAGCACAATTCAATGCACAAAACCATATGAAATTCTTCTTATTTCTGTATAAGAGCATAGTACTGTCATACAGCTACAAATATTACTCGTTTAATATTATTTATTCAAATAGTTCATTGGCCTCCCCTCAGTTTCCCACTGGTACTCCCAAACTCCATCAAATTCATGTTCTGTAACGTAGAAGGTTCGACTACCAGGTTTGAATTGCAAATTACTGGGTTTTGAAAATGGACATTTGATTCTGGCTTCTAAAACTCCAGTTGCTGAAAAAACTTCAATGTGACTGCTTCCATGATGTGTTACCAGCAGTCGTCCACGATTATCAAATTCCATCCGGTCCGCCAATTTTCATAGGATTATTGTATACAGCTGAAAAATGATGCTGGCAATAAATTGAAATTAATGAGGACAATGTATAATGAAAATGTTTTTGAAGAACCATTCCTTGGCATTTGCAGTGAGACAAACTCGCGCATACTTTTTTTTGTTTAATACTATTTTGCTCTATTCGTTTGCGGGAGCTTTTATTGCTTGTTCGGAACCCTAGTGTGCACAAAGCGATCAAAATCATCATTGCGTTACCAGCAACAACGGTTAGGGCAGACGATCTTTTCATGCATGAAACGGGTCACGAAACTGTTGCGTTCAACAAGGACTTCGAGCCTTTCAGGTTTGTGTGTTATTCATTGCGATCGTGAAAGAATCAACGACGGAAGGAACAATCGTACAGTATAGTTACTAGCTTATCTGGTGGGAAGCGAAGAATGAACTTATATAGATGATGCCGCCACTTTCAGTCCGATTAATATTATATTCATGTACTTTATTTTTTGAATACACATTTGAATTAGATTTATATTAAGCACAGTGGAGGTTTATAGTTGTTAAATTTGCTGGATGACGATATCGCTGCTAGTTTAAATACCCACCTAGCGGATAAAGCAGCGTGAAACTTAACTGTTTCGGCATTGCAGATTACACGTTTGGAGTTCAACTCAAATACCCCCCTCACCGAGGGTGAAAATACATTGGGTAGGCAATGACGAACCGCAATGATTACAATCTATTCAAGTAAATAGTATAGCTTCTTTCGTATAGTCAGATATCAGTGACTCTTCCACCTGGCCTTGGTCGGAACAAGTTGCCCCCGTACCTCGCTCAAAAAGGTTCAGCTGGCAACGTCATTGAACGATACATACATATTACCTTTTGGCAAAGTAGCCCAAACTCGTCTATTGGCCAGTTCTCCTTTCGATACGATGTCAAATGCTATAATGCGCCTCTTCATTGTTTCGGCCACCAATAGTAAATCATCCTTTATAGCAATTCCGTTCACAAATTGGAATGATTCATTCATCGCTTTTGGAGTCGAGTGACCTTGTTCAAGGAAATATAAATTTCCGCCAATTATCTGTTGTAGTAAAAAGTTAATTGCAAATGTTCAATTTTGAAAGCGAATACATTTATAAAAATACAACTAATTTTGTAAATCATCTTTCATAATTTTTTGCTGGTTGTTTGCATGCATAGTGCAAGAGTGAGTTTAACAAAGTTGCTACATACATTTGGCAATGTACACGCAATCGCTTTTCTTGTTGTAGATGAATCATGTTGGCCTGGGAATGTCTGACTTTAGTCAGAAGAAACGTCACAGAAATTTATTTGTGCTAGTACGACCAAGTCTCTTGATTCACTTGAAATAGTTATCTTCATATTGCTACATCCTCCTTGCTTTACGGATCCACCAGAGCAAAAGCATGTACGAAGGATAAATATGCGCAAAATCCGTAATCGCTTTTCTTGTTATATAGTTTGACAATGTTGTCTGACGGAGACGTTTGAGAAGTTGTATAAATGTGTAACAAGAGTGTTTAGTCATTTTAGTAAACTTAAGTTAAACGTATTTACCGTAAATGTCGGTGCTTCTTCCCCTTGTGCTGGAGCTACCTCCGAACCGGGTGCCGTGATCCATAAATTACCATTTTTATCGAAAACAAGATCGCTACAGCCATGAAGAAGGTTTCCATCATCGTCCTTGTTGCTCACCTACAATGCAAAAGATTGTGCAAGGCTGTGGATGTCCTATGACATAAAAAATCATTCAGGAATTTGGGGTAAGTTTAGAAATTTGAATAGTGCATGTCAAGTGTCAATCAATATGGAGTTGTGTGTGCCACACAATATACATATACTGCCATTTAAGTGATGTACATACACAGCTAATGTTCTATGCATATACATAGTCAACTCAATATACATATATAGCCATTAAAGTGATTTACATATAAAAATCAATGTCATATGCATATACATGCAATATATATAATATACATATACAGCCATACAAATAATTTTCATACAAAATCAATGTAATATGCTTCCATAGACAACTCAAAATACATACAGAGCCATTTCAGTGATGTGCATACAAAATCCGGACCTCCAACTGAACTCAGGTTGTGTACCAGGTTAGGGTTCAGGTTGTGCGACATCTTGGTGCGCATACTTCAGGAGTACCCAAAATCCAATGTCATATGCATTTACATACAAAAGTCGTATGCGTATACAGCTAACTCAACACATATACGGCCATTTAATGATGCAAATATAAAATTCAATGTCATAAACATGTAGTCACCTCAACATATATTTAGTCATTCAAGTATTGTACACACACAGCCAATGTCAAGTTATTATATAAAAGATTCAATATATATATATATATACAGCGATTTAAGTGATGTTCTTATAAAATCTAATATCATATTGAATGACATTGAATTTTGCTCTTGAACAGTGCTGTTATTTTGATTTAAATCGTCGCAACCACGAGTTTTTTTGGATACAAATAATATGGCATGACATTTTAAACGTTCGTTTTGGTCATTGCTTGAAAATTTTGCGCATCTTAATTTTTTTTTCGCTTTTCAACCGGTGTCGTGCGTATTCGTGCCGACTGCTTCACATGCAGTTTCCAATGAGCTGAATCTGTATTTTTGAATCCCGCTTTCGAAAATCCCGGCTGTATCCCCGTACTCGTATACAACCAAAAAGATCACAGTTCTAATCTGTGATTACATTCTGTGTATACATATAAGACTAAGACGGTGATGACAAATTTTATAAAATGCGACACGAAAAAAAGAGAGTAATTGCAATACCAGTTGACAATCGTTACTTCCAGGTGAATACTTGAGAAGTCCTAGTCTAAAATCCGCAATCCAAATGTTGTCGAATTTATCTGATTGGCATCCTGCAGGTCTTCCACCAAATCCGTTTACTAAAGCAGTGCACATGTCAGTTTTTTCGCCAGTTTCCAAGTTTATTTTATGTAGTTTTTCTGCCCATTCATCCCGAAACTGAGATTCGTCTACACTTCTATAACGCAAAGATAAGTTTAGCATTTTACACGCATTCTAGATCAGCGCCTATTGCAATTAACGGACTCGAAGTGTTTGATTTCAAATTGTCAGTACTAAAAGATACAAAAATTCGCTAAATGCAATTTTTGTGGGGCCCGATGTTTCACCAAAATTTGCAATTCTCGTGCCCATTGCACCTGGTATTTGAAAGTACTTGGTTGGAAGTTTTATTTTCACTACTAAAGTCACCATTGCTAGTCTGTTTTATGACATAAACTTTAGCGTTAAATAATATCCTTTGCTAGTATTGCTCAGTTAGCATTGGTGTGAAACAGCGTAAAAATTTCCCTTTGTATCAAAAACTGGACCTTCCGATGCTGGCAACCCATCACAAACTTTTCGAAATACTGGTTCAATAATTCTTACACTGGGTTGTTGTTGAGCGTCCGAGTTTAGTTCACGTTCATTGCTGATGATTTTTCCACCAATTCCAAAACTCACAAAAAGTGTTTTGAGAATAGCAGAAAGAACCGACATTCTGTTCAAGATATTTTTGATTGCCCTAAATTAATATGATTTCAAACATATCAATTTAATTTCGCAAATATGCATATCCTGCAAAATGGTATAAGAAATCAATGAAATTAAAAGTTTAGCAATATCCAAGCTAATAAAGGAGAAAATGAACTCCATTTCAGTGCATTATGGGTATTTACTCTCGAATATTTTGGACAAATCTTTTACAGTTGACCGTTTAAATTATAGATATAGATGGATAGTTTATTTTGAAAACTATTTAATTCACTTAAAATAATAATGAGGAATTCTGGAGAGCGAGTGAAACCGCTGCAGAAGTGTGAAACATGAAAAATATCAGGTGCCCGCTCACTAGCACGCACTTATGAAAAAATCACAAAAACAAACACCCTTTTAAACGAAGTTTGGACCAGAAACAAATACACAAAAATACGCCAATGTATTGAGGTTATTGTAGGCTATTTTTAAAAACAACACTTTAGCTAATAATGGTCGATTCAATCTATTAGAAAGACAAACATAGCTTTTGGTATGCAATGTCATGAAGCCATGAAACACTTCATTGATTGGGCATTGCTGAAAGTGGTTTAACATACATATACAAACTCAAACCAATACTATGCTGGTATATTCTGTGCACGGAAACTAATAATGGAAAAATTTATCAGGAAAACCCCAAATCACGCATGAACGGGTTTGCAATTTATGAGACCGATATTCTTAAAACAGTATGCACATAATGCACGAAATAAAAACAATAATACGCCATTAAGTTGATGTTTAAAAACGAACGTCAATCATTGGCATGTTCTAACAAATCGTATATATTACATTACAACCTATTTATGCATATATAGTATTAAAACTATAGTTTTAATTCTCATTTATCATTTAATTTGAATTTGTAGTAATAGTATTTGCATTATCTGCTGACAGTTCAATGCTCTTTTTCATATTCCTGATTCATTATTTTTTGATTCTGTCATGTTGCCTTAAAGTCATTTCCATCTTACGTCGTCTGACTGTAGGCTTCTCGTTGGTATTATTTCTGTCCTAGTTCATTGTTATAATTTGAGTCCTTCTGTATCGCCTAAAACGGGACCAGGCCTGACGACTGCCAACACGACTTTCCTGCATCAGCAATTAAACTTCGTGTGTGAATAGAACTGAAGTAGACCGGGTACTAGTACCGTAATACTGTTACCACGCCTTACTAGAAAATTCTAACGCATATCCTTCTCTCTATACTCTCTACATTATCAACACAACGGGATTTCTTTCAGAACAGCAAACCGTTAAGATATTTTAACGCAGTGGTTCCCAATCTCTTTTGTTAAATTTCCCCTTTCTATCTGTTACCCTATGCTCTCACTATACCCGTACTTTATTTGATCATTTTTAATGGATTCTTAGCTAATGTTATGCATAAGTCGCACTCCCGCCGCTTTTGTACAGTAGAAGCAGTTCATGAGTGTGGAACTAAAGATTTTTAGTAATTCTCCAGCAAATACAAAGCAAAATTCCTCCCTTTATTGCGTTTTCATAAAAAACTCATTTTATATATATACAACAAACTTGATTTCATACTTGTGTCAATCCGCATAGGGACAAACTGTAATTAAGTCTTGTATACGCCACAGTAAAACATGCTATACCAGTTTCCAATGACGTTTCATTCTGTTGAGTTGCATTCTGATAAACATGAGTATCAAACGGTTATTTAACAAAAACGCCACGGGCATAATAAAACTTCATAAAATATTACTGTCCACGCTGTAAATATCTAGAAGGTCATTGCAAATAGCTTAACTTGTGGTTTTGATTACGCCGTGGTGAAACATGTCATACCAGATCCCAGCGTCATTAATCATTCATTCATATTCTTATGAACGCAAGGACAAACAATAATTAATCTAATGACGTCACAGTAATAATAAGATTTTAAAATATGGTAATAGTTTCGGCGCAAATATTCGTGGTGGCAATTGCAAGCAGCTAAATTTGTTGTTCTAATTGTATTGCAACTTGCAAGGGGTATGCAATGCGCTGCCTTTGATCTTGCGCGCTACAAAACATACCAAGCCAGGCATTGAAACATTTATCAGGTATTTGGCAATGTTGGTCTTTCTCAGGGACAGACGTCGCCCAATGGCACAATGTTTTAATGAGGTGAATCAACAATAAATGAATCCACTAGGGCTTGGGTAGAAAAATAATAGTCCTCAGCATTTATATATGGTGTCCGAATAAAATGGTTCCATTACATTTGAACCCACGTACATTTGAACCCATGACAATTGCACCTGTATGCTATTGCACCTATAGAATTTTTTTTGTTTCACGGATAGTTAAACCCATACTAACCTTAACCCATGGGTTTTAGCACCCGCATATAGATTGAACCCGTGGATATACGCATGGGTTCAAATGTACATGGGTTCAAATGTACGGTCACCGAATAAAATATATACGCATGTATTGTATTCATGTATACACATTAAATATAACTTTAAACATGGTGTTTATTTCAAACTCACGCTCATCTTGATCCGGACACTACTGACAACGCAAAGCAATAGAACCGCGCACATTATGAAACAATTAATTCCCTCGGTATTTGGCTGATTCCCACTACTGCGTAGTGCAGCTATTGAAATATTGCTCCAGATTTGCACAAATTATATGTGCGAACAAAGTTTCTCCTCTTTATTACTGATCAAAAACGATAAACGATCCTGCATAAAAAATGTTGACGGCGAACTTCGAGTTGCTCTTTCACGTATTGATCCTAATATAGATATAGCGATTGTGCTCATTAAAACAACCACAAATCTCTCATTGAAATATGAACATTTTGTTTTTTTCGTTTGTTCTGGTGTGCCGTCGAATTTGGCAAGTTTTATAGGTGTGCCGCAAGTTAAAAAGGTTGCGGAGCACCGAGCTGGAATCTATGATGCGAAAACTCGAAAAATACTCCGCCGATGTTAATTTGCCTTTGTGACGTCAAAATGATCGTGTGGGATTTATTATGACGGAACAATTGCAACAATGTACTTGTTGCATACATCTCCATTTTTATGCGATTCGGAATCCTTATGATAAATCTGAATTAACTGACAGGTGCGCAGCATTACATAAATAACTATTGTATAAAAAAAGACTCAAAACCGCCAAAAAGTGACTTACGCGAATGTCAATGAATGCTACGAGATTAATTTCCCAAATGACGAAGATGAACGACGCTGCAGCTCGAGAGTGAGTTAGGTGTGGGATATCGAATAACACGTTTGTGCCGCTGGCGTTTTAATCATTTTTGTGGATACTTTCGCAGCATTTTCTGTCACTTTGGATGGTATAGGGCAGGGGTGGGCACAATTCTTTGGTATAAGAGCCGCATGCTGCATGCCGAGAATAATTTATGTTAGCGAGAAGAGCCGCACAAAGAGCCGCGAGTCGCGGTGTGCCCACCCCTGGTATAGGCTTATATATAACTTTGCAGACCGGTGAGACCAGTTATAGTAAAGACAATCAATTTATGTGTCCAATATATAAATACAGGACAGACAGAGAACTAATGCTTACTGTAGAGAATTGTAATGGTTTTAAAACAGCCTGGGTGATACAGCTAACCTTGTAACCTTCACTTGAAAAAAGTGAGCGATTGCGCGAACGTACCATAAAAGTACACGTTGACACATATTGATCATTAAGCTTTAATAAAGTAATGAAGTTTTGAGCGACAGCAACTCTAATAAGATGAAATGAATGAAATAAAACTATAGCTATAGGATATACATTGTATATGCAAAATCCGTACTAGAAAAATTGGGTGATGTGGACAAAAAAATGAATAAAATGATTAACGTTCATAGTAGTAGCGTAGGATGACTCGACTCGATTCACTTTCAAAAAGAAATGACTCCGCTAACCGCTAGAGAGACCTGACTCGACACTAAAAAAAAAGAGCGATTCTTCGATATAGTTAAATAAAATATTTGACGAGGAAGTGCCGAGATGAATCTTGTCAGCATCAGCACATGGTTAAATTCTAGTTTCATATTTATACACAATAACTTTGATTTAACGCAACATGAAACTTCAAGTCTACCGCCTCGTCATTGTTTTTAAAATTTATTGTGGATAGAATTTGACCTGTGATTTGAAACAGTAGTGACTTGACTTGTAATATGGGATTGCGGTAACTTGACTGGAGGGACGTATGACTCATACCTTTACGGACTTGTAACCTTCTACGCCAAGGGTGTGCAACCTTTATCACAGGAGGGCCAGATACAATGAACTAGGTGAAGACTCGGGCCGCACTTTTATTTGAGATAGCCTTTCTAGTAGCCTATATAGCTGCATGCACAAAATATTGTTTCTTTATGTTATTAATCTTACGGCATTGTTAAGGGCCATTGCAGAAATGGCGAGTTAGAACGCATAAATTTCTATAAAATTTCTATTTCCCTTGCGGGTCGCATTTGGCCCGCGGGCCGCAGTTTGCACACCCCTGCTCTACGCAGTCGACAATTCAGGTGTGAAATCGTAAAAGATTTTTTTGGGAACACCCATACATTAATGTTTATATCATAGACTACAATTTTAGCTAGACTTTCAATCTTGTCCCACCTACAAAAATCACAGGTAATTTATACTGGTATGATACGTAAACTTTTTATACGTTTATCTGTTGCTATTCTGTTGATAATAATACTGTGTGCTTGGGAATTACCACTATGGAAATTGAAGTCAAGCGGATATAGGAAAAGGAGTTCAAGTGAAAACTACAACAACGAAATGAAATTAGCAATGCAAGAAATGTCCAAAAGTAATTTTACACATTTCATACCGATTCAAAACTTACGATTAAAAAATATATTTTATAATCGAATCGAAAAATGTGGGAGCAGATCTCTCGTAAGCGTTGTGTGTAATTTGAAGAGAGCAAACAAATTTCAAGTCGAGAAGTCCAAGGTATATACTAACAGACGGCTAACAGGTGAAGATTTAAAAAAAGAAAAGGAATTAGTAATTGGACTGACTCTTCCAACGTTTTACGAGCGACACATTTTCCATATCAATTTTGAAGAATATAATGATAAGAAGCCGATTCTAATTAACATGGTGAGAGATCCGATTGAGCGATTTGTATCACATTTTTCTTATGAAAAATATGGGGATGTAGCCATGAAAATTAGTCCATCATTTCCAGACAGGGAAGACATTAATGACTGCATTTCCAAAGAAATTGGAGTTTGCCAAAAAGAAAATACCATGATGTTTAATATTGGTCTGTATTTTTGTGGAATGAGTGAAGATTGCCTTAATGCCTTTTCAAATAAAAGGGTTGAAATAGCAAAACGGAACATTGATGAAAGATACTCTTTTATCGGAAGTGCGGAAGAATTCGGGACGAGTTTGCAACTTCTCGAAAAAATGTTTCCAGAATTTTTCAGAAAATCGCTCCATATGTGGAAAGGCCATCACCGTGCTTTAAATTTAACAGCTACAAAAAAGAAAGACGTTTTAACTGATGAATCATGGCGAAAATTGAGGTATGAACTTATGATACATGAATATGAAGTTTATCACCATGCATTAAGAAAATTTATAAATTTGAAAGGACAATTTGGCATTGAGTAAAACATCAGAAATTGTTCTATCCATTAACAAAAGTTATTGCATCACGTTTAGTTAGAGTTGATGTCTTATGTGCAAAAACTTTGTAGGGCCGTCATTGCGATACTATTCTCATGTGTACGTTTGCACAAAAGTCAGTTCTCACAAAATTTAATTCCCGCAAATTCCGGTTTGATTCCTCCGTATATTAAGCTGTTCTTGTAAAATGTTTCCAGTTTAGCTGGCATATCACGCGATAGAACCATTTGAAGCCCAGTTGTCGCTTTCAAAAACACTGTAGACTAACTACGTCGATTTTATATATATAAATATATATTTATGTATTAAACTCTGCCTGCTCTAACGAAGTGAGAATAAATGAGAATTGCAATAAGCAGTGTATGTATTTGGACAGATGGGTAAAGTCAGCCTTTTTTAATTTTGCTGGGTTTTTTTTTTTTGTGAAAATTTGGCGGCACACGAACAATAAGTTTTGAAACCCCTGCTCTAGGGTATATTACCCGTGTATACATTTATGCATTCGATGTTAATTGCACAAATTGAAATCCATTCAATAATAACGCTTCATTACTGTAGTAAGAACCGTGCCACAATAAAAAGCAGGTCATTTAGAAAATACTTGCAAAAATACTGAATGCTCATTTTACAATGATAAAAACAGTAATAAAATAATGGACAATATATATAGAAATTGCTAAGAGTTCACGTGCTGTGCAAAAAATTAATAGACCTAATATTTAGCCAAGAACTGTATTAGTCTTGACTGAGTAAAACAGTCTTATTATCAAAAAAGGCTTCAAAGCTATCAGTTTAATACAGCAATAATTCTGGCTGGTGCGCCCGTCCCTCCTCCATTCTTGCTTGGCAAGGCAATAACTTTGAACCCCTTATTAGCGGCAGCTAGTTTGCCCAGATGTCCAACGTTCTCCAATGCAGGAATCTCATGTTTAGCGAGAAACTGATGTACTCTAAAAACAAATCCTTTTATGACGGAAAACTGAACGAGGATAAAAATGATCGAAAAACATTTCTTTTTGAAACCAAGGTCAATAGTCTCAATCAAATATGGAAAAATCTCAAAGATAGCCTTGTGAAAGTGCGATACCAAAATATGAGCCGGTGGCAGTCATAAAAGCAGAATTATTTCCTGGGACAACTTACAAAAAATCCTTTGATCTGGCCTGGTCAATGCTGGCTGTATCGATTCCAATTGCACCAATACATCTATTTGTAACGAGCCATTCCGCCGCCTTTGGGTCAAGTCCCGGGAAATGCAGAAGTGGGACAGCCTCGTCTCCAGTTGCGTTTGTTCCGTAATATTGAGATCTATCATAGTATACATCACTATATCCGGTGTATAATAATACGATGCTTCCGGAATGTATTCTCTTATCTGTGTGGTATAAGATTTAGGAATATATATATAAATGCGATTTAGTTGATAACCTTATTCGAAGACATACGGTTTTGTCTGCGATAAATAGCATTTTCAAGCTTCAAGCTGGATGTGTCATATACGTCTAAGCAAGTACAATCTTGGATAAGCACAAATAACAATAACGTTTTGTATAAATAGCATAATTTAACACCGGGACATATATGTAGGATTAGCGTACGTCCCGGTTTAGCCGGCACAGTCGCGATTTTGACAAGCTGTCCCGACCTCCCACTCGATAGAGTTAAATGTCCCGGTCATGCAGTATGGCAGTTATGAATATTTTTTCATTTGCTATCAATACAATTTTTTTGTTAATGAAGGCAGTCCATTTAT